AAAACGGGGGGGGGGGGGGGCTTGCTCTGTAAAGAGTCCTACAGACTGCATTCCGTGGCCTTCAAAAGCAGGCCAGCGTTAACAGTTCCATTTTACAGATGGGGACAGTGAGCCCCAAGAGGCGAAGCAACTTGTTCCAGGCCACAGTGCTGAGCAGCATGGGGCCCAGAGCACAAGCTTGGCCTCGTGATGGTCCCACCCAGTCCGGGCGACACCCCCTCTTCCAAAGAAGGAAGACCGGAGGAGACACCCAGTGTGCAAAGCATCCAGACACAGGCTCCGTGACACGCGGCCTCGAGGACCCAGAGCGCTCGGAGCAGCAGGCGGGAGGCTCGTCCCCTGGGCCGGGCTTGGCAGGAACCCACCTGCTCCCCCAGGAAAGGCGCCTGGGACATGGGGTACAGCCGGCTTCCTAGAAGCGGGCCCGCCAGGCCCCAGCGCTTTCTCGGCGGATGTGAGAGGTGAAGACGGCTTTGGAGGCAGAGGCTCCTGGACAGCCTCCAACCCCGCCCCCTCCCTGCAGAGAGTGGGGGTGAGGGTGCCCTGGGGTGGCCGGACGTCCCCTAAACACCCGGCCAGCAGTTACCACACTGCCCGCACACAGTGGCTGCCAGGGGGCAGCATCTGGAGTAACATTCCTCTTATCATGATGGTCGCCGCCATTACTGTTGTTGCTTTGACCTGTATGCCCACGGGAGTGGCCCTGAGCGCACCTCGGGGGACCTAAGTGGTAACACCTGCCTGGTCCAACATGAAAGGCACCCCCTTCCTCTCCTGTCCCCCACTGAGCCCCGAAACCTGTCTACCCTTCAGGTGGCCACGCAGCCCAGTTCGGAAGGGCCCGGGCTGACCCCTGCTGTCCCAGCAGGATTATTAAGAGCATCCTAGTTCCCTGTCACCTTGACCTGGAGGGGGTGGGTACTCTAGGGTCCCCGCCTGTGCCTGTCACAGCTCAGGCCCTTCTGCTCCCCCAGGGCTTCTGAAAGTGAGGGCCTGGGGCCCAGCACGGGCAGCCCAGAGCTGGTCCTGCAGCAATGTTCACTCCTCACGGAACCTTCCAGGAAGCCCAGGCGTCCCAGCCCAGCCCCCGGCCCACCCACCCTCCCGCGTGGGGAGCAGATGGCGGGCGCCATACCTTCTGGAATCCAGCGGGCTGCCCTGCAGAACTCTGCGTCTGTTATTTTAGGGAAGGAGAGGAAAAGGGAAAAAAAGTTAAGTGAGTGAAACTTAAATCCCAGCAGAGCCCATAATGGAATATTCATTTTGTCAGGGGAGCGTTTCTTTAAAACTTCTGGTCATCTGGACAGGCTGAGCCAGCAGGTGATTCGATTTAATGAGCTTTTTAACGCACTCCGGGCCCAGGTGGGACTCTGTCTGGGACGCCTGGGCGAGGCTGGCGGCAGGGCCACCGGCTGGGGCTGGGCTGACACCTAGTGGCTGATTCAGCCACCGTGGGGCCAGCAAAGTGGGCGCGTCAGAGGTGGGGTCCGGGGTCTGAGGGCAGCCAGGACCCTCAGAAACATCTCAGCCGCCCCCTGCTCAGCTCAGGCTCAGCTTTAAGCCTCAGTCTCCTCACCGCTGGTGCTCAGGGAATCCTGGCAGTCCTCCCCATAGGGCTGCTGCGAGACATCGCACGTCGTCAAGGCTCTGGTGAAGCTATTAGTGCTCCTCCAGAGGCCTCCCCCGCTGGTGTGTGCTAGTGCGGCTCTGCACTCACAAGCCCCGGGACTGCAGGCGAGTGTGAATTCTCAGGGTCTCAGTGCCCCTCGGGGGACTGGAGACACAATTCCCTGGGCAGAGGCTGCTGGGAGGACTAACAGGATGATGGCGTAAAGCAGTGGTTCTCAGCCTGGGCTGCACAGTAGAATCACCTGGGAATCTTTCAAAAATCCTGATTTCTGGGCCTCCTCCTCCGGAAATTCTGTTTCTTTGTTCTGGGGCGGGGCCACAACATTAGTAACAAAGAAACAGAATTTCCGGAGGATGAGGCCCAGAAATCAGGATTTTAACCCAGGGGATTCTAATGTGCAGCCAAGGTTGAGAACCACTGAGGTAAAGGTTGCAGCTCATGAGGCAGCACAGCGCTGCTCAGACCTTAACTGTGAGGTCACGGTCACGGCTGCTGTTACTGGAGCCGGCCTCACAGGGTGGCCTCACAGGGTGAATGAATGGCATCTTGCCATCCAGCACCCGGGACCTGGGAGTCTCCCTCCCTCCCACCAGGCGGTCCCCTCAGTCGGGTCCCTGGAGGCACAGGGCGGGTGGATGTGGCCCAGGTTTCGCAGGTGAGCATGGCTCGGCCGCCGTCCCACCCCCAGGCCGGGAACTGCCCGCCTGCACCCACCAGCAGCCACCCGGAGTCCTTGAGCTTGGACTTGTAGAGCATCCAGCGGTAGCGCAGGTCCTCCAGCTCCTCCGAGGCGCCCCTCGCTGGCCCCAGACGAAGGAGGTCCTCGAAGAGACGCTGGCCCTCGGGGACCCGAGCCTCCAGCTCCTGCGGGGAAAGGACCACGTCAAGAGCACCTTCCAAGGGCCCAGACACTCACCTGGCTGGCAAGGAGCAGCCAATCGCATTCCACTCGAGCTGGCAGAGCCATTGAATGAGAATCCTAGTGGGGAAAGCGGGCCAAGGTGGGCCGTTACTGTCAGCACTGCTGGCCTCCTGGTCACTCCAGCCCTCACATTCGCGTCACCGCCATCAAAGCTGCCACTGTGGACCACCATCCTTCAGCCTAGGCCCGGCAGAGTGATGTCCAAACAGGGATTTTCCTCCCAAAATCTAGTGCTGTGTCCCGCGGGGGGGCCCCTTCGGTCCGCGGGATCCCTGGGAAGCGGTGTGAATGTGGGCTCCGGGCAGGAAACCCGGGAGCCGGGGTCCGCATCTGGCTCGGGGGCCCGGCTCTGCCCCATCCTACCAGCTGTGTTTTGTGGGTGAGCTGCCTAGCTCCTCAGAGCCCCGAGGATGTGAGCTCTCCACAGACAGGAGGGTTCACTGGGGGAACCCCAGGCCGTCTCTGATCTGGATGGAACTGGGGGGGTAGGGGGGCAGCAGGAAGAGGGAGAAGTGACCGAGCAGGAGGAAGGGGTGGGCAGGAAGGACTGCCTGCCATGGTCAACCAGGCCATTGGACCAAACCTCTCACAACTAGGAAAGAGGGCCCCATATTCAAAACATCTGAAAGGCATTACAGGCGCAGGACGGTGCCGGGAAAAATGACAGACATGGGAGGTTGGATGACAAAAATTAAAATAAAGGCACTAAAGAGTCAGCAAGAAGCACATGGGGCTACAGCCAGGCCAAGGATAAGACCAGGGAAGCCGGCCCAGCGTGCAGGCTGCTTTGCCAACAGGCCGCTGGCCAGGCTGGAGGGACCACGGTGAAAGCGCAGGCCGCGGGCAGCCCCTCGGGACCGTGGAGGGAAAGGTCCGAGTCGGGGCCCTGTGGCGGTGGAGGCCCCCGCGACCAGTCCCTCTTCCGCGGGGACTCCCAAGGCCCGTGATTCAGGTCCAAAAGGTACGTGCCCAGATCAGACAGGGGGCGTGAGAGGGACAGAAGCAAAAAATCCCCAGGAACCAAGGAAGGCGCTGCGGCTAACTCCGCGGGAGCGAAAGAGGAAGGTTTGTGGTGGGAGATGCCAGCCGCGCCCGCGGCTAACTCCGCGGGAGCGAAAGAGGAATGTTTGTGGTGGGAGATGCCAGCCGCGCCCGCCCGAACCATCGGCCTCAGAGCCAGGAGCGAAACGGAGCTGCTGTGCGGAGCCCCCGACTGCGGGGAGTCTCTGTATGTAGCCACGGCTCGGAGACCCCGCAGCAGCGACTGGGGCGTGTTTCCCCAGCCGGGGGAGGACGGCACAGGCTGAACAGAGGATGAAGGCTTCTCCTAGAATGCTTCAGCCAGACCAGCTCAACGACCATTACGCACGCACAGGCAAGGACAGCTCAGGACGAGGCGTGTGCTCCTTGCTTTGAAGAGCTCCCTAAGGCCCTCGCTGGTTTGGCTCAGGGGAGAGCCCATCGCCTGTGGGCGGAAGGGTCCCGGGTTCGTTTCCAGTCGAGGGCATGTACCTTGGTTGCAGGCTTGATCCCTAGCCCTGGCCGGAGAGCGCGTGCGGAGGCCACCAATCGATGTTCACATCAGTGTCTCTCTCCGTCTCTCCCTCTCCTTACCTCTTTCTCGAAAAGTCAGTAGGAAAATGCCCTGGGGAGAGGCTTCCCAAAAATAAATGAGTGAGTAATCTCAGTGGGAAAAAAGGAAGAGCGCCGTCGTGGCAAACACTGCCGGCCCGGCTGGCGCGGCTCCGAGGGGGAGCGTCAACCTGTGAACCAGGAAATCACGGTTTGATTCCTGGTCAGGGCACGTGCCCAGGTTTCGGCTCCATACCCGGTAGGGGGTGTGCAAGAGGCAGCCGATCGATGGTTCTCTCTCATCACTGATGCTTCTCTCTCCCTCCCTCTAGAATCAATGGGGATTTTTTTAAAACCATCCATGGTGCCGCCCCTCGGACAGGGGCCTTTCCGGGCACGCACCTGCAGCTTTTTCTCTCTGGCCCTGGCGGCCTCGGCCGTGGCGGTTCTCATGGCGATGACTCTCACCAGCTTGGCGTTCTCCACCTGCAGCCACCGCTCGAAGTCGCCCAGGAGCTGGGGGAAGCCCTCGGGGCCGCCTCCTGCTTCCTGGCGCGGGTCTGCCTGCTGGAGCGACAGCGAGGCCAGAGCATCAGCGGGGAACCCAGCCTTCCGGCCTCGTGTCCTGGGATCCCACCGGGCGGAGGGCGGGCACGAGGATGCCCACAGGGATGCAAGAGGCCTGGGGGCAAGGAGCTGCTGCTCAGC